AAAAAAAAAAAAAAAAAAAAAAATTGAGCGCATCACCAATTTGCGCATGGCGCATGGCGCATGCGCACCGCACGGCGTAGCGCAGAAGTGCGCCGAAAGTATGAAAGGTTGTCTTGAAAACAGGCCCAAAATGGCCTGTGCCAAAACCCCGGTCTGGTGCCTAAGTTTCAGGGCAGGTCGATCTTATGAGGGCCTGAAAATGGCCCTCCGTTTCAGGCTGAAAAGACTCAGGGCTTTAGGCTGAAACGACACAGGGCCTGTAGGCCCTTGTTTTCAGGCTTTCAGGCTGAAACGACCCAGGGCCTGAAAATGGCCCTCGTTTGCAGGCGCAGCATGTAACACTGAGGAGCACACCAAATGAGAACACACTGACACTCGCACGCCGCTGATCACATGTACCGCAGTAAAAAAAGGCGCATAGACAGGGTGGAAGCTGTTCACATACCAACATTAAAGAGCTAACCCATCTGTGGATGCCAGGGTCAGGACGGGGACATAATAGGACTACTGTACGGTTTGAGTAGAGTCTACTGAGAAGAGTTCATTCCATTCTACAAGGGTTTAGGTTTTAGGGTTTTAGCAGGTTGGACAGGAAGTGGCCTACCGTCTTCACCCGGATAGAACACCCGGTCATTATCGCTGCATCTGGACTGACAGTTGGGCTAAATGCAGCTATAATGACCGGGTGCTCTATTCGGGCGAAGACGGTAGCTAGCAGCTCCGGGGCCAAAATAAATTCTGACAGCCTAAGCAGCTGACGGTAACCAGCTAGACAGGACCTTCACAGATAGGGCGCCGTAGCAACCTGATGAAGTGGGTCCTGAAGGTAGGCTCCCAACCGTATTGGGGAGGAGCGTGCGTGAGGGGTGGTGCATCCTGCCGATCGGAGAACACAAGGGCACTAGGTCCTGGAGGGTAATTTAGGCAACTAGATCAATGGGTGCTGTACGCGAACTTAGGCAGGGGTGAGGGGGGGGTGGTACATCCTGCCTACCGGAAGTAATCAATGGCGTCCACTCGGGCCTCCCAACCGTAATGGGGAGGAGCGTGCGTGAGTACTCGTTGTCATCCCTTCGGACTTGCCGGTGGAATAGGAACCGCGGACCGATGCTCCCCATAATGGAAAAGAAGCCAGAACCCTAAGGTTCTGTTCTTTTTTTTTTTTAATATATATATCGTCACAAATAGAACTGCCCGGTAAACCGTAGGCAGAGAGAGAGAAGAGGACAACAAACGAGGGGCTGTGACAAACTGTTTCATCGGAGTTTCACCGACTCATCAGGAGGCTGTATATAACAAGATTAGCCAGCGCAGCTCCGCCCGCGGCCAAAAGGATCATGCGAAGCAATTTCATTCAGTGGATATGAGAGGTGAGAGCAGCGGACAACAAAGAGTAGGTGAGCTTACAGATTGCAGTACAGTGAGAGAACAGGAGAGGCAGCAGAGACTACAGTGGAATACAGAGGAGAGTCGAATACAGAGGAGAGGACAACACAGAGGAATAGAGAGTAGAACAGAAGACGGTGGTCAGTAGTGTAGAGGTAGGTGTACAATACAGAGCACATTGCAGGTCACACAGCAGACAGAACTGTCGAGTTGAATTGGAACTCTGGATCAGCATTGCTTAGACAACAGGCTCCTGACACGCCAAGGGAGGAATAGACAGTACCATAAGGCGAGACGTGGCAACAGTGAGAAAATGAAGGTGGACGACGAGGCAGGTAGAGAAAGACGGAGAGTTTTCATTTGTTCCCGCGGGCACACGCCTGACAATAGTACTCACCAAATTCACATAAGAACATAAATAGGGCAGTCCATCGTCGGACATTGTAGCGAAACTTTGCCATTTGCTGTGAACTGTGGAGAAAGTGTCATACCTGCGGTTGCAAATCCGCACAGAAGGATCCAGACGGGCCCTAAAAAAACAGCGCAGATGTGTGGACGGCAGTGGACAGGAGACCTTCGAACTTAGTTGGAGATGTATTCGAGATCACATGGATGGACTGCAGTGTGTAAATAGAAGGCAAATAAGGTGAGTAAAGTGCTTGAGCCGAGTATGGCGTGAAGTCTCAGGTCATGCCCCAATGTGTGGCCGTTTTGTTTTTTCTCGTTTTTCTGGGGCCAATATTACGAAGGGAATCAGCTGTGAACCATCCCCATGGACAATTGAGCCTGTCCCAAAACCACGTGCATTTTGACCTGTTAAAGTCACGGCCAGATGAGTTGTGAGACCAGGAAATGAAGTTTGTATTTTTTACTGTCAGAGTGACTGGTCGGCCGTGGAGTTATGGTATCGCAACATGAATATCTTTCACGACAGAAATATTCCAGGACAGAAATATGTTTCGACTATTAGAGAAGAGCGGGGGTAAACAGGTGGAGTGAATCCAGTGTCGAGAGAGAAAAAATACGAAGAGAAGGAATGGTAAGAGGAGAACACTCCACGAACACAAAGGACATTTGACATACCTATGGGAACAATTTTTGTTTTTTCGGGAGGTCAAATGCTTGCGAGGAGGAGAGGAAGTTGTATGTACGGTTGTTGAGGCTCAGATGCGCGGCATGACGGTTTGTAACAATGGGAGGGCCAGAAGGAGGTGCAACAATGTGATCGAAAACCGAAGTTAAGAAATACACAGGAGGAATGCAGTACTGAAAAAAGTGTTTCTATTGAATTGGATCGGAGAAGGGAGGTATTGACAATGTGTTTGCTTCGTTTCCGTTTACTCTGACTGTAAATCCTTTATATTTATAGAAGCCATTCCTTGTATAGAGGATGGAGACGCACTCAGGTCTATGTTGGGAGTCAACGAAGTTAGAAGGGATGTTTCGGTTGGCGAGGGCAGACAGCGGTTTTTCAACCGAGAATAGTGGCAAAAGTGAAAGTGTGGGAGGGCCCATCAAGGAGAGGGAATTTTTATTGCCAGGTTCCCGGCAATGGAGGTGGATACGCAGGACAGTTTAGGGAGTCCAATTGGCGTCGGGAACGAAAGGACATGGTCCAAATGAAGATGTCAAAGAGAGGTCAGAACAAACGAACACAGGAGATGGAGATCACACGGAGCAAACGGAGATGCGAAACAGTCGTCACACGAGGCGAAAAGCAGTCACAATTAGGTGAAAACACAGCGCATGTGTCGTTACAAAAGTGGAGGAGGACACGAGGAAGCAGGGAACATTTGAAAAGAGGACAGACACAGAAGTCAACGCCAGGGGATGAAGCGCAGAAGGTTACTGGACGACGAGTCCCAACAAAAGCAACCCCTAGAGTCAGTCCAGGTAGAACCAACGGCGTACACACCTGTTTCGTAACCGGGAATAGTGGAAGAGGTCAAAGTGTGGAAGTTGTGGTCGAGGAGACGGAAGTTGCACTGCTACCTTGGTGAAAAACCAGGTGCATATCCAGGACAGTTTAGTGAGTGCAAGTGGCAGTGGAGCCGAAAGCACATGCTGGAAAGCAAGATGTCAAACAGAGTTCACAACAAACCAAACACACGAGAACCAAACATGCGAGATGGACATCACGCGACGTAAATGGAGATGGTAAACAGTCCTCACACGAAACCAAAAACATTCGCAATTAGGTGAAAACACACGGTATGATGAGTCTTTACAAAAGTCGAATCTGATGACCAGGACAGACGGAAGTTCTGGAAAGACGACTGAGACAGAACTCAACCAGAGGAGAAGAACCCCAAAAGATTTATGATCGAGCACTCAAACAAAAAGCAATGCGCACAGCGATGCAACGACCACGAAGGACTGCACAGTGGCACCATATGGAAGGAGAGTGTGACGACAGATCCACGGCGATGACGATCCACCGAATCGTGAGCTGAACAGTCAGCGTTTGTGCTTCAATTGGTTGGATTGTTGTGCGACCCAGTTAGCCGGAGGCCAGGTTTGTTCAAAGAAGGAGACCGGCGAATCCCCCGGAGAAGCATAGCAGGCAATTGACACAATTCTTGGAATCAAAGACAATGCAAATGTCAGTCGAACATCTGAATTCATAACCAGCCGAGGAACACGCTCCCCGGGCCATGACCAGTTGCTGGACGCCTAAGCGTTGTCATCACCGGAGTGGTTCGAGTCGCTGGTGTCGCTGGTGTCGCTTTCGTCCTCATCGGAATAGCCGGGGTCCAAGTCCTGCTCCGCCTCGATATCACTAACAGCGTAATCTGTTACGATCTCCTCCGATGGAATGGAAGAAGATGTGTCGGTGTCGCCCTCCGAGAGCATTTCTCGTTCACTTCGGTAATCAGCATCGTCATTAATGTGCCCAGAGTCAATTATTGCCTGCATTTCATTGACCTTGTCCTGATATCGTTGACGTTCCTCCTTGGCTTCCTCGATTTGGTCACGCACCCGTTCAAGTTTCGGATCTCCCTCCTGGAATCCTCGGCCCAGCAGCCTCGCAAGCTTGGACTCTCTATCAGCTATGCGCTGACGGCAGAGCTCCTCGTTGAGCTCTGCATCGTTGCGGATGGAGTAAGGGTCACGTGCAGATCTGTTGCGCTTTGGCGACATGCTGGCAAGAAGAAAAAAAGCGAAGAACGGGAGGTGGCACAGAGGGGAAGGGGAGGAGCGAGGAGGAATCCGGACGCAGCGCGGCGAAGAGAAGGTAGAGGAAGAGGACGTGCGCGGGCAGAGCAGAAGAGTTACGAATGAAACGGCGAAGGTCAAGAAACGTGTGCAGCTGAGCAATGCAGGGTCCTTATGTCCCAGGGCCAGCAGGCAGCCTAGAGTCCGTAATTGTTAGCTTAGCACCACGGATCGGAAGACCACGCAGCACAGAATGCGCGTTAGAACAAAATCTCAAAAGGCAGCGGTACGTCTCGATGGAAGTACTATGCATAGGGGCACAATCGAAGCAGGTACTTATCCCGGACCGACGGTCAGAGACGAGCAGGAAGTAGGCGTGTCAAGGTGCGACCAAAACGCGCCGACGGGAAAAAAAAGAGGCCGAAAGCGTGACAGG